AAAAAAAAAAAAAAAGATCACCAAAAACGAGCTATTGTTCTTGGCACATAATCAAAACCTATAAAGCTCCAAATAAAAAACTTATCATTCAGAACGTAGATCAATATCTCTTAAACACCCAGACAAAATTTCAGCTTGATCCAAAAGTAAACTTTCGCAAATTGAACAAAATAACAAAGTTGCACACAGTACCAAAACTTTAGAAATTTTTCCTATTTTCTTTTCCCTTTTTTGCTGATTGGCTCCACTCACATGCACTCCACTTTCTACTATATCATCTCAAAAATAGATCTGTTTTATGTGTCAAATGGGCTACAAAATTATGGGCTAAATCAAGGATGATTTTCAGAAAAAATGAACTCTTCCTAAAGATTTGGTGTTGTTGTCATTTAAGAAACTTACTCAAGATTCTAATTTGGTGCTTGAATCCTTGATTGAGTTTTGCTGGGATTCAATTGATTTGTTCATGCTGTCATTTGGGAAATGGGTTTTATGAGAAACAAAATGATTTTAAGAATAAATTTATAATTTTATTTTTACAATCTGTTCAGTTTATGAAGTGTGCACCATCGAGTCTCGAATCGACTAGGTGCATGAATCATTCTCTTTTTTTAATATGCTCCTTTAATCACCCTCCACTATCTTCCGAAATGCCATTAAATAAGATGATGACATAGACTGAAAAAAAAATTGATTACTTTGCACTTACATGAAAAACAAATAAAATTAACAATGCCCTAAATACTTAAGAGCATGTCTCAATTAATTAAGAGATTAAAATTTTAAGTTAAAAATTTTAAATTTAAATTTTAAAATAGATGTTGAGAATTAATAATACATTTAATTTGAAGAAATGAAATGAGAGAAAAAAGAAGAAAAGAGATAAAAATTTATCTATTTAATTAACAAAAAATTAAAAATAAAAGGAAGACTTATCTAAATGAAAGAAAAGGACAAGAAAGAAACAAAAAGACGTCACCCACCCCTTCCTTTCACTTTTTTCATTTAAGTAAATGAAAGAATTGAAAGAAAAAATAATATAAATAACTTCTTTTTCCCCATCTCCTCTCCCTTTTAATTTTTTTAACCAAATAAATTATTTTTTTTCCCTTTTATCTTCTCTCAAATTAAACATATTATAGGGGTTGGACACACGAAATTGGTAAAACCACGTTGATTCGTATTTTGTACTAAAAAT